AAAACGAGACTACCCCAAAGTACAAGGTACCTACATCCAATTTAGCCTTATTAAAAACCTTGGGTTTGATCTCTAGACTCCATTTCGGAATAGTGTAAATATAAAATTTTTGTATTTACATTTTTTCTATTTGCATTTTACATATTAGGGGTGTTCACAATTCGGTCAGTGCGATTTATAGAAAGTCTTAGACCGAACCAACTCTTTTTATTATAGTTTGGTGTGATTTCTATTACAACTTGGGCCATTCTATTGAGCTTAACCCAATTAGAAAGCCCAAACAAAAATGTTGATTCTTAAATATATGCTTGCTAGTGTGGCTAATATACTCTATTGAAGGAAAACGCGTAGAGAATAACCAATGGTAGCAAGAATGTTGCAATAGTTGATGATCAAAGCAACAAAAAGAAGAAATAAGAAGAGAAAATGCCTCGGATGCCAAGAAAACACCAATTGGATTCAAAACATCTCAAATGTTAGTGCTTATGTGGATGTCACAGGAGTCTCTGCGAGCAAAGTCAGTGCAATGAATGGGTTGTGTTCATTGCAACCTAGGCGAAAGTCATGTGATTGCACATATAATGCGATTCCACACCTTCATGAGATGAATTTTGACTCATCGCTCTCCACTTATACCACACTTGATTCTCATTCTTATTGTATCGTGGTCTTGCTACTTTATCGCATCGTGTCCACCTTGTTCATTTTCACTAATCAGATTCCTTCTCATCGCAACTATGAGAGCTTTAGGCTGCATCACTTGCACAAATAATAAATATTGTCTTTTAATTACCATAAAATATAAAATCAATGTAATTGATATAATTTGGTTAGAATGAGAAACATTTTGAGAATTTATGTTATTATATATAATATAATATAATACATAATATCTAAAATATAATTTATCTATCTATCTATCTATCTATCTATCTATATAGTAAGACAATCCACATCATCATGCCTCTCCTTGCTCCAAATCCCTTCCTAATTTTTTGTTTTTATAATTTTTTATTATTTATTTTTTAATTTCACATAATTACCCATTAAACAAAACAACCATAAAGAAGAGGGATTTGTTTTTTTTAATATTTGGCCAAGTGGCACCATTTTCCTCTACTTTCTCCTAAATTGTCTCTAATTCCTATTTATCTCCTAAATTATCTCTAACTCCTATTTATCTATTAAATTATCTCTAATTTAATAGAGAGATTTTCTCAAGGTTTTTCTTGGTCTGTCATCCGTCATGACTTTCTGTCCATTACTCTATTTTTCTCAAGATTTTCTCAATATTTCTTTTGGGGTGGATCCCTTCAGGGAGTCCCCCTTTCCATTACTCTATTTTTCCATTTTCTCGTTCTTTTTTCTTTCTCTTGTTCCTTTTCTTCCCTCCTCCCCTGTTTTCACTCTTCTTTCTTCCTCCCAACTAGTTCTCTCTTTTCTTCCCTCTCCTTTCCCACTATTCTTTTGTTCAACCATTTCCCATTGTTCTTTTTTACTTTTTTCTTCTTCACATTTTTTTTTGTGCTTTTTGACAAAGGGGGTTGCTTTCTCTTTGATCATGTGTTGGGTGATCGATACCAATGGATGCTGCTTTGTGTTTGTCATCCATGGTTAATTCTGTTCATAGTTCTCCTACATATGCAGTTATTGACAACAATTATATTCTCTGGTAGCGGCTTTTGGGGCTTTGCCGTCTTTTGCGGATCTACTCCAATCATACTTTTATCGATACTTTGCAATTTCTTTTGGGAACCTCTTTTGTCATTTTTTCTCTTTGTTTTTGGTGGATTGGAGATGTGTTGGTTTACTACTTCTGTTGGTGATTATTACTTCACCTTTTGTTTGGTTGTGTTCTTTATGTTCTCCTTCATCCACTTTTATATTTTGTTCTTTATGAGAAATTGTATCTGGGTTTTTCTGATTGGCCTTGTTGTCAATTCTCTATACTTGTATCAATTTATTGATTGAATGAAATATGTTTTAAGCCTTAAAAAAAAAGATCTCTCATTCCTATTTATCTTCTCCCCCACTTTTTATCTACATCTATCTAAAGAAAGTTTCAATTACAAAATTTCAGAATTATTCATAACACAAAAAGTTGATTATAATAGATTTAATAATATTCATATTATTAATAATTTTATATTTATACAAATTTCATCATGAAAATATGTAGTAATAATATAAATTATAATTTTACTAATTATTCAATTTAAATGTTATTCAAATAATAAAATATAACATTAAAAAACATTATTTAAATGTTTTAATAACTAAAAATCTTAAATAACAAAACATTAAAAATAGCTAAATAACTATATAACAAAATATTTAATATTACATAATAAATTTAAAATAATGAAAACATTTATATTTTACATATTATTTAAATAACGAAATATTTAACAAGACTAAATAAAAATAACGAAATTATGTAATAAATTTAAAAATTTTCTTAAAAGTAGAAAAATAGTTATAATAGATTTCATAATATTCATATTAATAACAATTAATATTTCACAAAATTAATAACGAACTATGTAATAATAACGCTAATTATAATTTTATGGATTATTAAATTCAATAGATAATAAATATTTTAAAATTTTAAATAACTAATTTCACTTATATCAATTAATAATTATATAAATCAACTTTCAAAAAAATTAATATTTATTAGTAATACTTTTATAATAATAGTGTATATTCATTATATATTTATATATACTAAAATTAATATTTATTGTATATTTGTAATTATTGTTGATGAGGGGTAATTAGGCATGACCTGTTAGCATGCGGATATGTGGAATGACCTGATGACTGGATGATGACTTGACAATTCTTGCCACCTCAACCGGCCAGGTCAACTCAGGTACCTCGGGCACCTAAGCCAAGACCAAGGTCCGAGCAGCTTGTGATGGCCCAACCTTTCGAAGTGACACGTAACCCACTTCTAGAAGTTAGCCAATTGTCTCCAACATTTTCAGGATCACGCTGCACGTTTGCAAAGTCTCATCCTCATCTCGCCCGGATCGGATGGACTTGATAAAGCTTATCAGCTCACATGAAGTTCATCTCCGGGTGTGGAACGGATTTCTGGTAACGTGGGTTGGGGATCTCGAAGGTGTTTCGTAAGACCTACGACAGCTCACCTATATAAGGGCTTCAACCCCAACGTTATAAGGTACGCACAATATTAGCTCACTAGCTCTCTTACTTACAAAGCTCTTCAACTTGCAAACAAGACTTGCTAACTTAAGCATCAGAGTGCCCACACCGAGTAAGCCGCCCTGGGTCCTTTGATAGTACTTTCTTGCAGTTCGATCGGCCATCTAAGCATACCGACGTCTGAGCTGCCATCTAGCTAGGAACGACTAGATCGTGCACCATCAATTGTATTTTTATTAAATATCCATTGTATTTTCATTATAAATTTATTTTCAATAATTGTGTATTTTTGTTATAATTTTTCCAATAACTATTGGAGATTAAACTATTATTATTTATTAGAGATTAAACTATTAATTTAGCTGAAATTAGGAGTGTTCAAGGATTGGTTCAATTTGGTTGCAAGTTGTTTCTCCAACCAAATTGACTTGGTTCATTACAAATTTATTTTCAACAATTTGTGTATTTTTGCTATAATTTTTTCAATGATTATTGAAGATTAAACTATTGTTATTTATTAGAGATTAGACTATTAATTTAGATGAAATTAGGAGCATTCAAGGATTGGTTCAATTCAGTTTCAAGTTGTTTCGCCAACCAAATCGACTTGGTGAAGTTGAGAGTTTGTCACGCGAAATCGACTGACCATTAGTGAAAACCCACCAAATCGGGTTGTAGCGGTTTGGGTCTATTTTTAGTTTGGTTTGTTTATTCAAAAGATTTGTACCTAAAAATTAAATTTAAATTTAATAAATTACAATGGTATTATTAAAATAAATTAAAAAAAATATTATATAAAATATTTTAGACTAAGAAACATGGGAATTTTTCCACTTTTCCATATTAAAACATTATATTTAAAATATAAAATATTAATATATATCTATGGTCAGGTAGGTTTAATTTAGGTCAGTTTACAAATGACCAAACTAAAAGTAACCTAACTTGGTCGGATTGGAAAATTGTTGAACCAAAACCAATCGGAAACACTAGGAAACCGGCCAACTCAAGTTGAGTTCGATCGGATTAGTTATTAAAAAGTTAAAATATGAAACAATTATATACTCTTATGCATTTTTATTGTTTAGGTGCTTATAAAAGCACATAAATCGCACGGGTCCCCACTAATAATATATATATATATCTATATATATATATTTGATTTACTATTTATGATTTTTATAAAATTTAGAAAACCAAATCAAACCAAACCGTTCAAGTCTAGCTCGGTTCGATTTGACGGTCCGCAAGTGCAGCGTTTAATGAACGCCCCTACAACGTATTTGTATTTGTATTTATATTATACTCTTCATTCTTCAAGCGGAGCCTTGGATCTTGGTGGAATGTGATTGCAATTGCAACACGCCAGCCTCAACTGATATATATTTTTTTTCCATTGTCTCCGGCACGTATGTGGGCATTTCACATCGACGAAATAGTGGGGTCTCCCCATTTTTATATATCGTAACCGTACGTCCATTCTCTCTTGCCTCATTCCTTTCTCTCCTAATTCAATCCAACCCACATTTGCTACGACAGTATCGTAGCCGCTGAAACAACATAAAGTCTTAAATCAAAACACTTGATTTGTTTTAGCAACTTCATTATGCTATTGGGTAGATAGATAGATACGGAGGAAGCAACTTCTTCGCGGGCCACTGCAATACAAAGGCCATTTTTGTGTTTTAGCGCTCCGCTACGACAGAGTGTCGTATCAAAAGTATAACTCCACTTTCCATACGCTGAGTAGAAGCGGAAGAAAAAGTAGGAGAACCCTACCCAATAAATATCAATCCCTGTCTTTCATTGCATGGCTCGGTCTATTCCTCACAAGTCCCAACTACCATGGTATCCTCCTGTCTTAGCATCGTCTCCTTGTACGCTGGCTACCTTCGTCGATGTTTCATCGGTGCCGGCCTTTTACCGCAGACAATTGACATCGACTCCCAAACTATTATCCACTTTTGGGGTCCCAACTCCAATTCATCGGTGACAAAGAAACCGCCTCTGGTCCTAATTCATGGTTTCGGCTCAAACGCTCTCTTTCAATGGCGAAGACAGGTCCAGGCCCTGTACCCTTATTTCGACCTTTATGTCCCCGACCTCATATTCTTCGGTGGATCGACCACAAAGTCGTCGGAAAGATCAGAGATTTTTCAAGTAGTTTCAATTGGGAAACTGCTAGACAAGCTGGGCGTTGGGAGATTTTCGGTTATGGGGACCAGTTACGGTGGTTTCGTGGCGTATCACATGGCGTCAATGTGGCCGGACAGGGTAGATAAGGTGGTGATAGCGAGTTCCGGCGTCAACAAACGACGGGGAGATATTGATGAATTGATGGAGAGGGCGAATGTCAAGAGTATCGAGGATCTCATGTTGCCAAAGACGGCAGCGCAATTACGGACGTTACTTCGTCTCGCCGTGTTCAAGCCTCCGCCCGTTCTACCCGACTTCCTCTTAAACGACTATGTCCAAGTAAGTACTTCTGCGTCTGCCGTTATGCGTGATGATCCTGCGAAAAGAATAAAAACGTATGGATCTATAGTTCTACTGTGTTCGTCATTCATTCGATCGAAAATGAGATAAAAAGTGGTGAACACTAAACACTAAACACGTTAATGTTATAACTTCTACCCAAAAAAGTAGAAAAAAAAAAGTGAACTTTATTGTTCTTCTCATCTACCCTTGGAACATGGTCAAAGTCCCACGTCGTGTGGGTCTCTGTGACTCTGTCTCTGATAGTAATTGGGGAAGTTCAGAACATTTAGCTTGACGACAGTTCCGTGGGCACGCAAATTCTATATTAATGGGCTCAAATTCGTCGCGTTACAGTGTTACTGTCATCACTTACCATCATCAATCACACAGTCCCACAGCCTCATTGATGTAGAGTTTGGGAACAACGATAAAAGAGTGTAGTAACATGGGATTGAATGAATGGAAAGTTATTTTTCCCTTCTGATGTTCATGGATCACAAAAGGGCCGGGTGTTCGGGGGGTTCACTAATCAAACCGAGAACCCAACTGACTTTTCCTCTTTTCGGTCTAGTCATTCTCCTAAACCGAACCGAACTAGATGTTATAATCAAACTGAGCCGAATCAGTTGAGTTACCGGTTCGGTTGGGCCTGTTAGCAAGAGATAAGGTATTGGCATTTTTTTAAAGATGGCAATTGGGACACCCAGAGTCCAGAGATAAGGTATTGAGTTATCGTCTCCATTAGATTTTTTTGCTAAACTGAACCAAAAATCCAAATCTGTTTTTTTTTTTTTTTCTTTTTTCCAAATTTAAACCGAATCAAACGGAGAATCATATAAACCGAACTGAATCGACTTATACAGTTGGGTTTTCTGTTTGATAACCGAATTTGAAAGCCCCTTTATTCCGGCTTATAAAGTATGCACGTGGCTATGCTTTGGTATATGGTTCCTTCATTGATAAACCATCCTTATTGATGAAGATTTTGCTTTCTTTAGGATGGTATTTCATTTTCTTTCAACCATACAATAATTCTATATGCTATATTCTTCTCTTAGATGACAGTATGACTCAAAATCTCGTCTTCCACGTATTGGTGTTTGAAATCGTTCAAATTTCCTTTTTTTTTTAATCTTTTGCGCTTAATTTGTAATTAATTCGATGGTGAAGTTTATCAAATAAATGGAAAAAATTATTCATAAGACCTAGCTCAACATCTAGGAGTGGGATCTCGCAACAAAGAACTAAGAATTCTGTACTAACATGATATGTGTTGATGTGATACAAATCATATAGAAACATGATTGGAACAAATTTTTGTTGTGAATAGATCCGACCTCCATATATTCTCGGGGTAGGGATCTGCTACAAACAGAACACTCCCAAGACTGTCCCAACAGACCATACATTGGGAATATCTTCTTTTGTCATTCATGAAGAGATGTTCCTAATCACTCCAGATCTGTTTCCACATCTCTATTCACAGACCACCACAACTGTGAAATGGGAACATTTTCCAATAAATAAAAAAGAGATATATTTCCAATGCACAGCTATAATGTCTCTTGGATAGAAATGTGGGAGCAACAGGAGTAACAAATCTAAACTCTTTTTTTTGGGGTAATATATCTAAACTCATTTAGTCGCAAGAAAAACGAGTTAGAAATTAGGATAGGATATAAATTGCACAAAGGAATTCTCACCAAACCAATCTATTGCGATATTAGGATAGGATATCTAAACTCAATCTATTGCGATATTAACTAATTAGAGTTAGTCAATGTTTCAATTTAACCAATGGATCTCCTACTGACCCCTACCCACAGGACATTACAGCTACACATTTGGAACATCTCGCATGAATGATACATATAAATAGAGAAATGTTATCAATGTGGCAATGTGCAATGTAGGTAGGAGATTTGAACACCAATCCAACACCCTTGAGTTTGTATCTTTTTTCTACCAAAAAAAAAAAAAAATCTAACACCATTGACACTTATTGAACTCCAGGAGGGAAAGGTAGAGAATATGTGATATGTCGCAATATTATTGGTGATCAAAGTCAATATTTCTATGTCATTGATTCCCTTTTTTTCTCTTTGATTCTTTGAACTGATTTGGTTGCATAAAAGTTATCGAGTTAGATTGGGTTAGTCACCGATTTACTATTAAGATAATAAAAAATAATTAATAATGTGTTCAAAGAGAGAGCTCCTCTATGTGGAGTCATTGACGTATGGTTTCAGCAATTTTCCAATTTTAGTTGACTCCCAAGATATATATTGCTTTGCCGTGTTAGGTGCACCTTCAGAAAACTTCAACCATCTCTATAAAGCCCAAAAATGTGTTGGTTGGTTATATAATATATTCTAAATTTCTAATTATTTTGTTCTTATAAATGTTAATTGAAGAGAATCTATGTAAATTAAGGGGGGTGTTCTGGAGAGATATGGATTCTTGTATTATGTTTTTGTTTTGAGAATAAAAACAAGTCAATTTTGTTTTCAAAGACAAAGAGTCCAGATCTCCGCTCCCAACAAAAAGAAAGGTCCAACATCATCTGTGGCAGCACGTCTTAATGCACGATGGATCCCAGTCTTATCATGAGATGAGTGGATGTAGATTATGTTGGAACCAAGTTGGGACAGTTTTTGACGGGGAGGTGGTCGCAACTGAATTTTGAGACAAAACAAATTTTAGAATAGAAATATTATATGATCTATGAGAAAACAGAAATTCAATATCGCTACATGCTTTTTTTAATATTTTTATTTTAATTATCTTAAGAATCAATTTGTTTTCATGGTTTGATTTGTATTTTTTAAAACTCATAATAAGAAAAGAAATTGACATCGAAGATCCTTAAAAGAAAGTGGAGTAAATTTTAGCCAGTTGTGCAATGAATCCCGACGTCCTTCTCCCTTGTGCAGACATATGTTGAAGCAAAGCGAAATGATGAGAAAAATCACTAGATTGGATTCTAGATTGAAGTTCAGATCTGAGCCCCACAAGGGGGTGTTCCACCGTCCTGTATTGGGAACATCTTCCGATAATGACATCATCCTTTCTAGTATTATCATCTGGAAGATGTTTCCAATACACAACAAGGATATGCTATGAACGTTGTGGAGTGCATATGTGAATTCTCAAAATTAGTCAATTTTTTTCTATTCTCTACAGTCCATTATGTATTAATCCTCCAAATAATACAATAGAATTACTTAACCACTGGAGTCCTTTATTATGATCTTGAAATACAAATAAAACAAAAATGATGAACAACAAAATTAAGAGCCAATTAAATATTAAATTTAGGAGTTCCGCATATTAATGATTAATCTGCACCTTCTATGATGGTTATGGTTTTAGACAATGTGCATGGAGAACAGGAAGGAAAAGCTGGAACTTCTCAAGGGAATCACACTTGGACAGGATGACACAGTGTGTATTTCTCCTCTTCCACAGGTAAGGTTAATGTACATTAATTGTCATCGCTGAATTAATGCACATGCTTCAATTTGTTATCAACTCTTACATGCCTTTGTAGGATGTTTTGATAGTGTGGGGAGAACATGACCAATTATTTCCGGTGGAGATGGGATTTGAATTGAAGGAGTACGTAAAGGAATTTTAACACCTCTCTTTGCTACTTTTACTTGGTTTGTTTAAATCGACTGAATGCTCAGCTCATTGGTGAATTCAATGTTCCAGGCTTTTAGGAAAGAAGGCTAGGTTTGAGGTTCTGAAGAATACATCTCACGTGCCCCAGATCGAAGACTCAGCCAAGTTCAACGATATTGTTAAAAAATTCTTCTGTGGGTCTTCTTAATCCTTCAATTCAAATTTATTTCGAAGCCTCTACACTTCGAAACTTGCATGTGGATCGGTTTGTTTTGGTTGTGTAATTGTTTAATGTTTTATTTGCATCCAAACCTATTTATGTTTTGGGTAAAAATTTTAGGGTAAATTACAAAGACCCCATCTAGTATGGGCTCAATGACAAATACCAACTTTCATTTGTGACAAAGACCTTTGTGAACTTTTACTTTGTGACATATATTCCCTTTGTTAGAGTTCTATTAGTCAATTTCGAAAAAGATTTTCATTCAAATGTTTATTCTTTTTCTTTTTTAATTCCCAAACTTCCCTTTCCTTATTTATTTGAACAATTTATCATTTGATTAGTTTCTAAATATATATAATATTGAAGTCCTCTCAATTGCTTCAATAGAAATTTGCAGATTTCTAATTGGATTCAATATTCAAATTAAATGGTAGAGGCTTCTTTTTTTATGGGTGTAAATTGATGGTTTTGGAGAAAGGAATGAATGATTTTTATATTTTAAGACGAAGAAATACATTTGTGTCAGTAAAATGAACAAAGAATTAAGGAGGCGTTCTTTTTTTTGGATTTTGAGAGGGGGGAAAGTTGGTCAATGAGATTTTGGTTCCCATCAACCAAGAATCCTATGTTAATTTTTCAAATTAATGTGGGGATCAGGGAAAGTTTATTTTTCTGGGTACCACTTATCCGGGTAAGTGATACCCATCTCTTAAGTGGGTAAATAACTTTTCCACTTGGGGGGAAAGTTTCCAACACTTGAATGGGACAAAAATGAGATTTTATGATTAAAATGGTCATTTACCTTTTTACTTGGGAAACAAAAGAACATAGATAAATACACTTACCCAGTAATTGCATTTATCCAGGTAAGTAATTTATCGAAAAGCGAATAGGACCTAAAAAAATTATTTTTATCATTTAACTTGAGAAAATAAGGTGAGGAAAAAAATTCAGATGGACATTTTGGTAATTTAACATATTCCATCTGACTTAACTGTCATAAGGTATTTGTGGCAAAGTGAAAGTTTATGAGGGGATTTTATCTCAAATGAAAATTCAGGGAGCATTTGTCACCAATCCCATAGTAAAGGGGGGTGTCTTTGTAATTTATCATTTTTTTTTGAGGAATGGTAGAGATTTGCACCAGTAGAATTATGTTTGAATGGGTAGCTAACCCTAGCCCTCGATCATCCTGGATCTGGTGCATTAAGGCTATGTTTGGTTTGAAGGAAAATGTAGGAAAGAAAGGAAAAATTTCCCTACTTTGTCATTCAAACCAAACATAGCCTAATTGTTTGGGGTCAAGGGTTTGGGTGATCTTAACTTGAAATTGAAACCAGGTTGATTAGCCAACACAAACCCAGACATTTGGGGTCAAAAGTTTTGGCCAGCACATCATTAAAGTACAGGTACAGCTACCCTAGGTGAACATTTGCTCTCATTTGCATAGCAAACATGTACGCTAGGGTGCAGCTTGAGCTGGGCTAGTTTAAGCTAGGGTCAGCCCAGCTTAGTACAGGAGTCCTGCCAGGTTATGTACATCTAACCATGTCAAACTGATATTCAAGTATCAGCTTTTTGGTTAATTGACCATGGCAGCACCAGACTTTAAGCCCGTTCATTGTTCTTTTTAGCCTTAGCCAGCCAGCTTCATGCATGCCAATAGTGCCAACTGGGTTCGGGTTATGCCAGACGGCCCACACCAAAGCTGCAAACCTGCAACTCTATGACCTATGCACATGCAGAAATATCAGAAAGGAGTCAAGGTTCGGGCGTTGGGTCTAGTTGGGTTAATCCCTAACAAGCCCAAATTGTACCCTAACAAAATCCAGACTTTCATCTGAAATAGATATAAATGAAATGACTTGGATTTTGAGTTGTGAAACATTGATGTGAAACCAACAAACCAATTGGCCAACATTTCATGTAATATATTGAAATTTCGCCGAAGTCCACAGTAAAAAAATCCACTTGTTTCAAAATTTCAACATTAGTAGCGTTTTCGGTTGCAGGAGATGGGCTTGGGCCTCCATAATCCGTAACTCGCCAGAAGTTCATCGCTTAAAGGATCAAGAACTAGCATTGAGTGGCCGGCCGGGCCAATGAACCATGACATTTGATACTGATGGCCAATGCAGATCACAGGGGACGTAGACATTTAAGACTTCAGGTTCATCACCACCGTCGAATCGAGCCTAAGCGGCCGTTTGATAGCATTTGAAATTACTGAATTGAATGACTTATTGGTTTGTGTTTTTGTGCCTAAAATCAATGTTTTTGAACCACCGTTGATTCGGACGGTCAGACCGTTCGGCCCAGGAACCGTTTAGGCAACCGGTTTCATTTTATTCCAAATCCAGAATGTAGTAAAAAACCGTTAAAAAAGTCAATAAACCGTTGACCTGGGCGATTGAACTATCGACCTATTCAACGGTTTTGATTATTTTTTATTTTTTAATAATTTTTTAATTTTTCTGTCAAAACGGGTTGTCTGTTCAAACTGGACGGTCGGACCATTGACCCAAAAACTGGACGGTCGAACCGGAAAAACTGGGAACCGGTCACCTGACCGGTTCCGTTTTCCTCCAAAACCGCTTTTCCCCCCAAAATCGTTTATTTTGGTCAGCAAACCGCTGAATTGGCCAGTTGACTGTTCAAACCGTTCAAACGGTTTTGACCGTTTTCAAAATTTTTAAATTTTTTTAATTTTTTTTGTCAGAACAGGCTGGTCGTTCAGTTCGATCACCGATTCATTTTTAAAAGCCGTGCTTAAAATGATTAAATAAATAAGATATTCAAGGGTATAAAAATCCACCCAACTTCAGCTTCAGCTATTATGAAGCCCCGACCTCCTTAAATTCTTATTCACTAAAAAACAGTTCAATAAGCTTTTTTGGTTCAGCTACTTCAGCTGTTATCAAAAGGCCCCTGAGTAGCATTTGCCACTAAAAACTTTATTTTATGTAATTAATATAAAAAATAAGAAGATGCTTTATTTGGAAATCTGGCAACTGTTTTTTCTTTTGGCTAGAACTGACACGCAAATAAAATGTAGAGTGAGGGGAACACGTTGGGGCTCTTGGGAGTGGGCCCTATGTTAAATATTCCCTAGTGTATAACCCATAAACTAAAAACCTTTATTTGAAATAGTAGACATGCGAATCCATTCCATCTACTGTGTTCTGTAATCGGTGGCAAGCTTAGCCCATTCCTAAAGTCTAATATCGTCCAACACAATTTGTATTTCAGGGGCAGCAGTTCCCATCTTGACTTCACCAAGGCGCTTCACATGTGATAAAAATAAAACTAGAAGGAGAAAAAAATATACATTGTTTAAGCGACGTAGATATACAAGAAATGAGAGAAAAGTCGGGGATCGTACAATAAATAATTTAAAACTTGGGCACCCTCAAGAGTAAAATATATATTGTATGTTGGTGAATTCGCGACATCCTATCTTTGACATATGGGCATACAACCAGAAGACAAGATACCCATAAATTATGCAAAGTTTACTTCGTCCTCTTTACACCCTTTTTGACTCCTACACAGAGATAGGCATGAAAGAATAAGGTTTGAGATACGAAGGAGGGAAGGCAGGTTAAAACTCTAAAATAGTGTTTTAACGTGGTGCTGTCAATAGGTTGGGTCGGACTAGATCCAGTCCCAATTTGATAAATAATTGTGCAGAAACCAGTCCGAGCTAGACTCTATTAAGGTCTGTACTGTAGTAACGGACAGACCTACTCAATATGAGTCAATTATATAATTGAAGGAAAAAACTTGGGCTGTTGGGGGTCAATAACCCCATATCCGCATGACACGTTATCATAGGTGTGGAGTAAAGGGATAATTACACTATTCATTTTCATTTCATGAACAATATCATGTAGGGATGCCAGTCCCAACAGCCAAAGTTTTTTTAGTAATTGACACTATTTTTAACATGTAATTTAATTATAGACCTATTTATCTTTTAAATTGATAATTTGGACATGATAATACGAGTATATTACAAGTATACAATGAGAAAGGGATATGTCATATTAAAGATGTCCTTATGAATTGGATGTCATGTTAACTCTTTCTTTTTCCTTTTAATTCTCTTTTAGTGTTTTTTTTTTTTTATTTTCTCTCCCTAATTCTCTTTTGTATATCTCTTTGAATGATATTTGAGGACCAGATATCTCAAAAAAGGGTTTGATTATGATATGAAAAAGATATGATCCAAAAAAACAACTTACCAATAAAACTGAAATCATAATTATAATAGCCAATAAGATGTTATTTATCTAAATTCATGATAGATTTTGATTGATCAAAAGTCAAAACTCTTTTCACACCTTCACCTCGGTTTGGGGAGTTATGAGTTTGGGGTATGGATCATCTTCGGTTGTCTAGTCCCATGAAACCAAAATCAGTCTTGACCCATTTATGATTAAGGTATAATATAAATATAATATAAAAAACCAACCTTATTGGATTTGCCTGACTCTTTGATATAAGACTCTTGATGTAAACTTGGCTATGTGACTGGTCATCAGTGTATATGTCAGTGTTTCACTCAGTATAAAAATGGAATATGTTGAATAAAAAAAAGATGAAATATGTGCAGTAAAACATTGGAAAAAGAAAAAAAGAAAAAGAAATCGAATGAACCTGTACTAATAGGGAAACGACATTCCAACAATATTGAGGAAGCTCAATACAAATTTGTTCTGTTTCATATATTATCTCATGGAAAACTACAATGACAAAATTAAAAAATGATGCATATGCAATTTAAGAAAAATAAAATTGAATGAATTAATTGTCCTCATTCCAACAGAACCACTTACACCCATGGGTTTAAATATCGAAATTTGGGTTCCATTTTTATAATCCCATGGTTATCATGAAGTTTTTGTAAAATTTTGGAAGTTGTTTACTAATATTTTATGATGATTATATTGTTAAGGGAAAATTCTCAATTAGTACCATGTGTTTTGTACTTTGGGCCTAGTGTTATTTTGGTTCCCAAATTTTAAAATGTGATAATTTAGTACTTGAATTTTTAAAATATGTCAATTCAGTATTTACCGTTAATCGGTCGTTAAGTTGCATTTGAACAAGACACAAATGCTCTTTAAATGTCATCTAATTTATTTATTAACCATTCAAATATTGACAAAAAGTTAACAATCCCAAATCCTTGATTCTTATATTTAAGAAAGTTGGGGTCACGTCTTAGTAGGCATTATCGACCCCAACTTTTTTGAACAAAAGAGGCAATGGTTTAGGATTGTTAATTTTTTGTCAATGTTTGGATGATTGATAAAAAAAATTAGATGATACTTGAAAGGCATTTGTATTTTTTTTCAAAGGCATTAAACGGGTGGTTAACGGTAGGTACTGGATTGACACGTTTTGAAAGTTCGAATACTGAATTATCATATTTTAAAGTTTGGAGATCAAAGTGATACCAGACCCAAATTACAGGGTACTAATCTACAAATTTATCTAGTGTTAATTTATATTAAAATGATGGGGAAAATGAATGATTAAAAATCCATAAATTTAGGATGAAATAAAAAAACCTATTTCATGCCTACATAGCCAACATTTTGAGAGTTGAACCGTATCCGCACCTCTCTCTCTCTCTGTTAGTACTGCAGAGCTAAAATAGCGAATCCGCAGATTTGCAAAGTAGCACAAATTCTTCTGTTGGGATGATTTTTATAAATCTATGACATTAAGTGGTCATTTGATTCTCTTTCCTCCCCAATTCCGTCCTGATCCAAATTCGCAAGACATCAACTTTGGGGATGTTTGGATACAAAAGGAAAAATGGAGACATTCACAGGATGGCGCGATCTAGTCGTCGTGGATATTTCCTCTTCTGCGTTGGACCCCCACGAATGAAGAAGACAGGGCTGGGTTGTTCCATACTTCCATTAGCTAATCGAAGGGATACATTCGCGTCCAAACATCCCTAATTCTTTTTTTTGTTTTTACCGGAGGCGAAAAATATCCCATGAAGCAAGCATCCATATTTATCCCAGAAGTCCCGACCTATACCGTCCAATAGATCCATCAAGAAGAAAAAATTCCGATAGAACGGCAGCAACCAAATAACGATTAACGGATAAACAAAGAGCAGTGTCTATGTCATCGATTACGATGTAAGGAACGAGGCATGAAAACATGATAGAGTTTCCTTTCTTGTTCTTACTGAAAAGTGAAAATGAGCGAATGGACTGCTTACCTTCGGTCGCAAAAATTGTAGGTACAGTCTCCGGAGGTACCAACACAAATAGTCTATTCCTCCTCGACCCGAGAACACCAAAATATTTTTATTTTCTTTTGTTACTTTGACTGTCGCGAAAGCGTGCAGCTTTCGGCGCTTTCCCTTCTCTCCTCCAGATTTAGCAGCGAAGCGATGCGTACTTGCTCTCTGTATAAATTTATTCCGCACAACCACTGAGAAAATCACTGCTCCATCGCAGCTAATTATTAGTTGGCGAGCCTCCTCTAAATCTAGCCACGATTCTCCTCTCTCTCTCTGGCCTCTGGCTCAGCTCCGGGGAGATTCTTAGCAGGCATTGATTGAACCTAAGCTAAGTATGCTGGTTTTGGAGATTCGAAAAGCCCAGATTACTCCATTACCAGGTATTGCCAATGGAGCTTGAGCTTGAGCTTGAGCTTTTCATTTTTTTTTTAATTTATTTATTATCTATCGCATTATGAGATCTTTCTTGTGCCATAGTTTATTTTCTGTTCCTTGCTTGTTGTTGATTCTGTGAGTGGTCTCTCTACTTGATCAAGTGGGAGATCTATAGGTTCTTATGGTTCTCTTGTAGGTGTACTTTGAATGGGGTTTGTTTGTGGCATCCGGAGCGTGGTTTCTTGTTGGACGTTTTCTTTTATGTTATCATTTTTCTTTATTTTTGTGGAACTTTGGATTGGAATTTTAGGAAGAATTAGACATTGCTAATGTGAATTTTTGGAGTGTTAAGGACCTCTACGATTTGTTAATCTTCCGGTTTTCTATACATGGGCAATTTTTGTGTTTTTTCCCTGGCTTATTAGCTATTTGTAGTATTCTTTGCTATTATTATTTTTTGTTTTGGATTATGCCAGGTGTTTATCTGTTGCTCTGGCCAAAGATATGGATTTGTAAAAGGATTAACTTGTTACGTCAAATCAGAGATTTCGTTTGTGTTGAATATGTGTAATTATTCCTGTTCTCCTGGTCGGATGAAAATTAATTAATCAAAGGAGATAGGGAAACAAAAGTGCAAAGGGTAATGAGCCGAAGAAACAGGGATAAATAAATTTAAATATAATGGTATTGCATATTTTATGCATGTTGTACTCCTACCGCCTTTTGTTACTGGCAAGAGAACTTCTCCAACGGAACTTGAGGGCTTGAAGGAGCTTAGCTAGATTACGATTACACCTTATGATTTATCCGTATTATTACTTATATAAGTTCTGGCAGTGACCAAGTCACAAGCCTGAACCAAGCATTTGACCATGCGACATTCTTTGTACGGTGAAGAGGAAATCCATTTCTTTTATCTATGGGAAATCTTAGTCAAAGAAGCCCGAATCTCCTAGAGCAATTAAGCTGTTTTTCGTCAATCTTCAACAAATTCCATTTCCATATCTAAAGAAAAAAAGAGACCTTATCTGAACAATTGCTTTTGCATTTCTTCCTTATGACTTTAACATGATAGTGCATTTTTCTTTGTGCAATTGTTAATCATGCTTCATATGATCTAACAATAAATAGCTTTAACAACAGGCAACAGCAAACGCATTCTCTGGCTATTTTCCATGGGGAAGTTATCGAACATTGAAAGATTTCCAGGATACATGGTGCAGCTTGACTAGTAGTATAATTCCTATGCTGTCCATTCTAGTAGAAACTATGGGCTTATTGTGCAGCAAAAAACAACATTTAAGTGAGGCTGATGCTGAAGAAAATGCACAGGTGGACAATTCCGCTTTAGTACGATTATGCTTCCTTTGTTACCCATTGAGTTCATGGTGGAAAAAATGTTGAGGGGTCTGTTCTTAATTATTGAACAAACACCCTTAGAATCTTCAATGTTTTCCTTATATAAAGCTTTTAACTCTCTGTTAGTTTATGTATCCTCAGGCTGCAGAAATTGAGAGGCGAATTGCTCAAGAAACAAAGGCAGAAAAACACATCCAGAAGCTCCTGTTACTTGGTATGTATGGCCTAGATTTTAACTAATATTGTATAGCTTATTGTGAATGTTATAATTTTCATTTGATTGGCTTACATCATAGTTATGTGCCCATTAACTAAAACTTCATAGTTTTACAATATATTAGTTACTCGGTAAGTTTCTCTAGCCTCTTGTATTGCTTCAATTTGGTTTTCCTTCCTGCAGTTTTTGGAAATAGTAGAATGGGTCATGAGTGATTATCTTGTAACAATAGTCCTTGTGTTGTTAGGGTGTCATGCTTAACTGGTTGAACTCTTGTGGTAACCAACTTAGCTCTCCTTCCTTATCCATTTAAGAAAAAATTGTACACAAAAGATGGTGTGATTTGGTTTGACCCAACTCCTATTCTTTTTTAAGATCTCATGATGTAGCTGTGTGGTTGTTTATGATGGGGGCCAAGAACACTATTATAGAGCCAAGAAGGCTATTATATGGATTAAGTGATATGTGTTCAATGAGAAAGCAGAGCAGCCAATTGCTGCCCCTATCGATTGGCACTTACAATAGGGGAAAAATAACTGATGCTCAAGGCCTTTTCTTTTTCTCGAGGAAAAGAAGAAAAGGCAGCCGATCTGTGTTTGTCTATTGCTGCCCCTATCAATTGACACTTACAATAGGGGAAAAGTAACTGATGCTCAAGGCCTTTTTTTTTTTTCTCGAGGAAAAGAAGAAAAGGCAGCCCATCTGTGTTTGTCTGTTGTTCCTACTTCCTACTACATAAATGATGTTTGACTACTTGATGAAGAGATAGATATAAGACTGACCCCCAAATATTTTATTCTTTAGAAGGTGGGAGAGAGCAAGAGGAAACTTTCAACCTACTTCAAACACTATATCAAATATTAGTTTCATGTTTTTATCTTTTATTCAAGTTTTCTCTATGCTTCATGGATGGGGGTTTGGTCTTGAATTTTGTCATAGATACAAGGTCTTAGACTCAACAAGTGAAGAAACGGTTTCTGGGGCATGGTGAAGTATATTTAAATTTTAAGTTTTTCTTTTAATAATAAATATTCATTATATAAAAGCTTGCTAATAGATATTTTTATTCTACATAAATAATAGGAAGTAATAATGGTTGTTGGACATAGATGACAAATTAAACATGCAAGTATAAATCAATTTAAATAATACTACAAGTTCATAATTCTTACTCAAATTTTGTCCTAAAAATTCAAGGTTCTTGAGTCATATTTTAAGGACTTGACAAAAACAAGAGTCTCTCCTCAAGTGTCATATTGGTGTAAGCGTCTACTTTCCAACTTGGATACAGCATCCATTCAATGTAATTTTTTCTCTCATTGTGTTTCTCTTAACATCTACAACAAATCAACAATATTCTAGCCGGTTGCCCCATCACCAACTTTTTGACTCTTCTTTCATTTCATTAGTCTTTCGTGGACTCTACACTAATAAATGATTAATGCCATTTTTCCTATAGAACCACAGAGTAACAAAAGCAAACTTCAAGACCTTTTTGTATATGCGTAAAATGTTAGATGGTATATAACTTTATATAGACATGTCCTAGAGTGTCCTAGAGTCCTTTTTCTGTTTCAAAGTCAGAGTCCTAGACATGCATTGAATTCTTATTATTGTATCCATGTTCATGCAACACTGCACTTGATGTGTAGTCTTCACAATAATAAGAATTTCTTCTGATTTATTTGTCTTTCTTGCATATGTTTTAGGTGTGTATAGGTTGCACAAGTGAGGCATTCTAAGGCATGTGCCTCTTTTGGGACTAGGTGCAACCTCTTCCAAAAGAAATGGGCCTGGTGCACCTTGTGCCTTAGCTTAGGCATACACCTTTTTTAGATATACCCTTTTTTGATATTTCTTGTAGACCCTTTTGTGTTTTACGTCTTTTTAATGGTTTTTCAATTTCCATATTACCTTTTATCGCTGTTTGCATGCTAGCAATGGTCTCTTAACCTTTAAAATACCCCATGTCTTAGCTTGCAAATAAGATCCAAATAGCAAAATTTCCACTAAAGAAATAATAACAATACGACGCATATCTGATCCTTAACCCTAAAATAGAATGATCTGTGACTAAGATCACAAAACCAGTTCCCTTGTAGATATGGACCAAAAATTTAGGTGTGATCACCACCCCAAACATCTATATGGACTTGTTTATATTTGCCTCAAGGGGATTTTACGAAGGTGAAGAGCCATTAGCAATGTAAGACGTTTAAAGAAGGACCATAGGGTTAGGTGGGAGGTGGTGTGTAGGAGTAAGAAAGGAGGGATGTTTGGGAATTGGGAACATAAGGAATAGGAACTTAGCATTACTAGTGAAATGGCTGTGGAGATTTTCATTGGAGAAAGAAAAACTTTGGGTTAAGATAGTGGGAAGTATTCATGGGGTGGTAGACAATGGATGGGACTTTGGGATTCTAGCGAGGACTACAAGAGAATCTCCCTGTAAAGCTATTCAAGCTATTTTGTCCATGTTTTCTCCCTGGATCAGGTGGACTCCCCCTTTGAATGTGCAAAGCTTATTCACTTCCATGCCTAACTGCCCAACAAAAAGGGCCAAGATTATGTGGAAATGTGTTAGGACTGCAGTATGTTGGACTGTTTGGGAAGAGAGAAATTCACGGATTTTTTTAGATAAAGAGAGAAGCTTGGAAGTAATATTGGAGATTATTCACATTAGGGTGATACATTGGTTGAAAACTTTGGAATTGTTTGCAGATTTTTTAGTTGATGAGATGCTAAGGAATTGGAAGGAAATTGCAGAATCAGCTTCAGCTAAGAAAGCATCAAGTTCTTGTTGGACCCCTCCACCTCGCGGCTTTAGCAAACTGAACTTTAATGGCAGTAGTTTGGGCAATCCAGGGCTCTCCGGAATAGGGGGAGTGATAGGAGATGAAAAAGGGAATCTGTTAGCTATGTATTCTGGTCCAAGTGGGCTGGGAGATTCCTTGAGGGCTGAGATACTAGGAGCTCTTGAAGGGGTACAAAGGGTCAAAGACATGCATATTAATAAATTGATCATAGAAGGTGATTCTGAAATTGTAGTGAACTGGTTAAAAGAGGACAACTCCAAGCTCTGGAACTACAACAATGAAATGAGGAAATTTAAGTGGCTGACTAAGGACATTGAAGTTAGTTGTACATGGGTAAAGAGAAGTGCAAACTCATTGGCAGATGGTTTAGCTAGGCAAGGGGTGAACAAAAACTCTATTTTTTGGGCTGTTTTGTAATTGATGTACAGTTTGGGTGTACATTGATGTATTAGGGTGTTAAAGATTCTTTAGCTCCTTAGCTATGTAATTTCTTAATCTTCAATAATATTCACTGTTATTGCTAAAAAAAACTTCATACTAGCTACTTGAGGTAATGCAACTAGGAGATAAATAAACACTTTGAAATATTCACATACTTGAATTGTTGAGTGCTTGAAGTACTTTGGTACAGTCTGCATATACTTGCTTTCACTTGTACATTTTTTTGATAGATCTTTAACGTCCATATTTTCACTTTGAATGTTTATATTATATTTGTGTATTTTAATTAGAGCCAGTAGGTTACTTTACTCTCTCTCTCTCTCTCTCTCTTTTTTTTTTTTTTAATTTGCTCCTTGCTTTGAAAAGGTATATGCCTCACCTTGCACCCTGGGTATTAGAAGGATTTTGCACTTCTAAAACACTGTGTATGCATTGAGTTTATGCTTATTTTATTTTCAGTGATTTTTTTTTTTTTTTTGGTTTGGAAAAGTTGCTTATGTTTTAAGCAAGCCTTTTAATGGGTTTATCTTACTTGTTATGACATATCTTCTGTTAAGGGGCTGGAGAGTCAGGGAAGTCAACAATTTTTAAGCAGGTTAGACATTAAATGCTTACTTTTCCATTCCCACAAGTTATTTTGGCCCTCTGTTTTGCAATTCATTCTAATTTGGTCTTGACATCTTGTTCATGGTAATTGGCAGATAAAACTTTTGTTTCAGACTGGCTTTGATGAAGCAGAACTAAAGAGCTATATACCAGTCATCCATGCCAATGTGTATCAGACAATTAAAGTACGCATTACGCAATACTAGAAAGGGTGTGTTGGTTGTTTCCCTTTTGCAAAATAAGAAATATCTAGTATCATTTGCCAGAGGAGAATAGACACTTTTGCAAGTATACAAATGATAATCCTTGAGCTCAAGTACTATGAGTTTTTTTTTTTTTTTTTTCTTTGAAATTCCAACAGATACTGCATGATGGGTCAAAAGAATTTGCTCAAAATGATGAAAATTCTTCAAAGTATGTTTTATCTGCTGAAAATAAGGTATGGATTAGTTTTTTCCTTTCATCTATATCATTGTCCTGTTGCTGATTTACTTTATGCAAAAATCAATTTCTAGATTTGTTTCTGATTTGCAGTTTGCCATGAGAACCATACAGTCAGATAATTGGTTGTCATATATTCAGGGGGCTCTAATTTTCTATTAATGTATATTTTTTCTCTTCTTTTTGTCAGGATATTGGAGAGAAGCTATCAGAAATCGGTGGCAGGTTGGACCATCCACGTTTGACCAAAGAGCTTGCACAGGACATAGAAACTTTGTGGAAGGATGCTGCAATTCAGGTACCTATGCGTTACTTGGTTATCCTATGCTTTTGTTTTGTGCTTCTTCTCATGGGCACAGATGCCAACTTTCTTCATGCATTGCAGGAAACATATGCTCGTGGTAATGAACTCCAAGTTCCAGATTGTGCTCACTATTTCATGGAAAATTTGCAGAGGTTGTCTGATGTCAATTATGTACCCACAAAGGTATCATTAAGTGAGATTTTGCCCTTCTCCTTCAATTATGTTTGAGAGGATCACATATTGTGCATTTATGGTTTATCTTTTGCTCCCTTATTGTTTTTACTGACAATTGAAGCTGGGGATTTTAATTGTCAAGAGTTTCAACATTCATTACTCTTGAATGAGAAAAAAAAATCTGAAAATTTGGATTTCACAAGTTTAAATGCATCTATTTTTTTGATGAGCAACTGTCAATTGTATTAAATTATACTAATTTGTAATATTAAATGCTTCTTATTTTATTTAAATATTATTTAATTATGATAATTTAAATATTATTTAATTATGCTAATTTGTACCATTAAATTATCTTCCATAAACAACTTAATCTAACTCTAGTTTTATTCTTTTAACTTCTATTGTATAGCTTTTTTGTTATGCTATTAAATTTGGCGAAATTATTACCTGTAAACCGGAATTTCAGTAATTTTTTATGGTTCTTTCTGAAAAAAAATTCAAAATGAAATCTACCAAATTCGATTTTTTTTTTGTGCGAAACAAATTCAAAAATTTGCAAAATTTCAGTGACATTAAAAACTGTGAACAAGTCAGTAGAACAATAACTTGGGAGCATCCTTTTCTAGTTTTTTAATTTTCCTCTGCTAGAAGTATGTCTGGAGAAGGGATTTTCTTTTAAAAACAAAGATTGTATGCCTGTGGTTTGCATTATAGTTCATCTTAATCACTAATACTAATAGTGGAAAATTGAATGCTATCTATATGATGGTCATTATATCCATAAATTTAGTTTCTGATCTCTGCTTCTATTTAATGCTCTGTCTACTTTTCTCAGTTTTTGGATAATTAGATCAATATCTGAAAGAATCATATATTTTGGTCTAACATTGAGTTGCTTATAAAAAAAAGGGGTTTTTTCTTGTGGCACCTTATAATGATGGAGACTGGAAAGGAATGAAGTTACTTCTATGTTTTTGTTGACTTCTAATTTAATTTCTTTGTCTTCATTAACTTTTTTTTTTTTTATTTCTTTTGAAGGGCTACACAACCGCAGGGGGGGGGGGTAGCCCATCCCCCAACCCAGGTGCAGGCGGGTTTTGACACCTAGTCTCTGCTATGACTAGCAGGAGACCTTACCAACCAGCTGGTTGGCACCTTGCATCTTCATTGACCTATGATCAATTCTCTAATGTAGGGAAACCCAAAAGATAGTATTTTCTAGATTTTCTGAATCCACTCTGAGTCCTAGAAAATACTTAAGAAAGATTGCTGGTATTTCAGGGTAAAAAGGCAACGGTTATCAAGAGGGCTTGGGGGGCCTTTAATGCTGAAACAAGCATAGGTTGAATTAGGCTCAGTTTGGAAAGAATAGAAATGCAAATATATGCAGTGCAAATACAGACAAAATAATACAAAATATACGGTTTTGCACTGTACATGTTTGCATTTGTACTCTTTCCAAACTGAGTCTTAAAGTCAAGGAGAAAAGAACTAAATCTGGACACTCAGGTGGCGTTTGGTAGCGCCGAATTGACCACCAGACGCTGAAAAACTTGCTTTTTCAGCATTCGGTGGTTGTTTGGCTGCACCTCTGAATGGAGCCATCGAACATTGAATATAGCTAAAAAATTTTCAGATGGCGAGCTACCTCTGAGTGCGTTTGGAGGTAGCGCACAAAATATATTTTCCGGTGTTGTCCCTTTAACATTTCAAGAAACCTAAAACTACCCCCGTGCACGAAACGTATTTTCCGGTGTTATCCCTTTATTGTACTATACATTCATTTTATATTATTTTTTAGTAATATTATATGATCTCTTTTATATTTTTAAATTTTTTTACCATCACTGTTTTCTGCTTTACCTTATTATCATAATTATAATAAAATTTTCACTAATTTATTTATTTTATATTATTTTACTATTTATTATTTTTATGTTAATTTTTACTATTGTATTAATAATAGTTTTATTTTTGTAATATGACTCAAATAAGACATACTGGGGCTCTAATTATGTTTTCAGTCATATTAGCTCTCCATCTGAAAATTAATATCATAAAAACAATAATGGTAAATTATGATTAAAAAACTAAACAAAATATAGGAAAATCATAAAATTCAGAACAATCAATATAAAAAAGATAAGACATACTGGGGTTCTAATAAGACACTTGTGAGATCCATGGATGGAATAGAATGCAACAATGTGATCAACTTATTAACTTGGCAAAAGACAAACTGACAAAGTAAAGATATAAAAGATTGTTCTAGCAGCTCTCATACACTTTAGGATCCCTAAATTGAGGGTGGGGTAGGATGGGCTCTGGATCACTTGGCACCAAATTCCAGGCAATGCTTTTTTCCTTGCATTACTGCATTTCTGGATCTAAACCTTTGTCCGCTTGATGCATGTTGCATAACTTCCAGGCAATGTTTTTTTTCCTTGCATTATTGCATTTTTTTATCTAAACCTTTGCTTAATGCATGTTGCATAACCTCCATTATACTATATACAAGCTTAGTTATGTTCATATATTGTTTCTCATAATCTTATTCAGTGTAATTCTCATAACTACTATTTGGTATTTCAGGAGGATGTTCTTTATGCTAGAGTTCGAACAACTGGTGTTGTAGAAATCCAGTTCAGGTAGTCATTTTATCTTGATAAAGCATTTTTTTTCTTTTCTGTTTGCATCTTAATATCAAATATTTGCTTTTGGTACAGTTTTCATCTCTGACAAATTATATGACTGAAGTCTGAAATTAAACTAACATTTAAGATTAAGAAGCAGAACTATGCCCCTATTCATATGTTGATCTCGTACCTATCAAGGTGGAAGGCATGATTAGTTTAACACTGTTCTCTTCTTTTTTTCCTTGCAAATTAAAAAAAAATGTTAGAAACTTATGTTGTGGGGTATTTGCTATGAAGTATTGGAAGATGCATGAATATTTTCTACTGGAAGAATGATTGAAAGACTAACAAAGAAAAAGGTAGAAAAATGATTGTAAAGAGCTTAAAAGTTACAAGCAATCAATTATACTTGGTTCTTACAACAGTTTCCCCCCCTAATGCCTGTTTGGAGGATGTATTGGAGAATGGTTGCCATTTATGGATTCTAAGTCATTAAGCCAGTTATATTAAATTATGTGCTTCATTTACCTTGTTGCTAGTTTCAACTTGAGTTCAATGTGCAGTTGGCCATTTCTATTCAACTGCTTTGTTAAGTTGTTTTTTCATGGTTGTAAGAAATCTATTCTCTGACATTCTTAATGCTAAGAGATTTTGGAACTTTGGAAAATAATGATTTCATTTTCTTTTTTCATCTGCAATTTGAGTTGCATTCCTGGCCCTGATAGTAATATGTACTGCAAGGTTGTGTTTTTCTGACCAAATGGGTTTCAACTAAGATGCCTCCGTATAGTTGGACATCTTTCACACTTTTACGTGAATAATTGTACAACAATATCATTTAACTAACTTGTTAATTGCACTAATTTTGATTTCCACCACCTTGAACATATATTTATCTCTAGTTGGTAGAATATCAAAACAATAACTCATTGCAAATAACAATTCTGCAGCCCCGTTGGAGGGAATAAGAAAAGTGGTGAAGTTTATAGACTTTTTGATGTTGGAGGCCAGAGAAATGAGAGAAGAAAGTGGATTCATCTATTTGAAGGTGTTACAGCTGTAATTTTCTGTGCTGCTATTAGCGAGTAAGCTCATTCTGCCTTTCATTAATTATAATACCATGAAATGGGTAGATATTTGCCAAGTTCTCACTGCCTCTTAAATGCTTGTGCATATGCCTGAACTACTAATTATCATCATGTTAAGGGATATGAAACTTCTGATTTAACATGGGCAGAACTTACTGTTGTAAGAAAGCACGTTGAGTTGTATATCCTAAAACAAGGTCTTGTCTGGGGTTATACCAACCCGAGCAGAAATTACTGATGCAAATTTGGATATATGTAGTTGCTTCCAGCCATAGGGCATTGCTTTTCTAAATGTTCTCTTTTCAGGATCATCTTTTTGGCTTATTTTTTTGGCCACCCCCAGTTACCCACCAAAACATACCTAGTTACCCAAAGGAGTGGTGTATCAAGTTGGCAGTTCTGTTTAGTGGCATATTTACAGCTTGGAGGAATAACAACTACTAGTCCATTTACTTGCTGCAAAAGATGCTAGCTATGATTTATCCCAGGAAAACTGGAGATGAGTTTTCTGATGGTGCGTTTAGAGTTGGAGTGGAAGACTTAATGCATAAATCATGGTCAGTATTTCTGATCAAGGTTTTAAAAACTGGACGGACATGGAACTGTTCTGGGGACCGGTTCCCAGGTCAACAGTCTGACCATCCGGTTTGAACGGACGGCCTGTTCTGACTTAAAAAATAAATAAATAAAATAAAAACAGCCAAAAACCGTTGTCTGAGTCGACGGGTCGACAGTTTGACTGCCCGGTTCAGCGGGTCACTGACCAAATCAACAGTTTTTGGCCAAAAAGCAGTTTTAGGATGAAACGGAACCGGTTACCTGACGTTCCCAGGTCAACCGGTCTGACCATCCAGTCCGGTTCAGTTTTCAAAACCATGTTTCTGATCAAAAGAGGTAGAGAAAGAACAAGAGAGAACAAAAATGAAAGAAATCAAGCATGGCGGCACTAGCACCTACACGACATGGTTTGGAGATTAAGTGTGAGGCATTTCTGTCATAACTTAAAAATAACTGACCTAAATGGTGTTTCAGGTACGATCAAATGCTCTTTGAGGATGAAAACAAGAACCGAATGATGGAGACGAAGGAGCTCTTTGACTGGGTCCTAAAGCAACAGTGCTTTGAGGTTTTATTTCATGGTGCTTCTGCAGATTATTCTTTTTTATTCTTGATTGTGTTTTTCTTCATTTGAATCTATTTCTGCTGTGCAGAAAACATCTTTCATGCTGTTCTTAAACAAATTTGATATATTTGAGAAGAAAGTTCTAAAGGTGAAGCCACTTGAAACCTTAAACAACAGTTTGCAGCTTGAATATTTAGTATTTATATGGTACATGTTTCTCTAATTTCTATGCTATACAGGTGCCACTAAATGTGTGTGAATGGTTTAAAGATTACCAGCCAGTGTCTACAGGAAAACAGGAGATTGAGCATGCTTACGAGTAAGTGTTCACTGTCTTCAACAGTGTTGTTGACGTCATTGGTTCTGCATCTCTGTTCCATATTTCACCCCTTTCCATCCTAGAGCATATTTTATGTTTATTGATTCTTTACTTCCTGTCCTTGTGATGGAACCACATTTTCAGATTTGTGAAGAAGAAATTTGAGGAACTGTACTTTCAGAGCACTGCTCCCGATCGTGTGGACCGAGTCTTCAAGATCTATAGGACCACTGCCCTTGATCAGAAGCTTGTGAAAAAAACTTTCAAGCTTGTAGATGAGACTTTAAGAAGGAGAAATCTATTTGAGGCCGGGTTATTGTGATGGTGGTGGAATTCTTGGATCACAAAGTCATCCTTGAAGAGCTTGGTCCGAATTTTGCTATTGAAAGCTAAAGAAGCATCTGTAGAGAGGGATGATGATCAAGCTCCCCACATTAAAAAAATTTAGTCCCATGTGTTGCAGGCTTGCAGCCCCGTATGCAAACTTGTTCCGTTCATGATTTTACTTTTGGCTGCTGATTTGTCATTCGGAAAACCAGCGAAGCCTTGTCGAAAAATTTGGGCCCTTGGTTGTCGTCAGAACAGTAATTGGGTTTTACATTTGAGAGAACTTTATTCTTTTGATCTCTTTTGGGGTATTTTATACATCGTTGTCGTGAACCATGTGAATCTTTTAATATAGAAACTACATCCTGAAAAGCTCTACCAAACATAAAATGGGATTATGGGAGCGCCTTCGGGTTTGATGATCAGCAGATGGTTAGAGCCCTAGAGGCCATCCTGCTCATGTGATTTCGGGTGCATAAAACAAGGATGACTTTCCGAGGATGAAAGCTGAAGGGTGAGAATAAATCCATTGACTGTAAGATACATTCATTGTCAGCCTCATCCCGTTGATTATAGGGACTTGATTATTTCCCTTTCATCCTCCGTAAAATTTGAACGTAACACCATTAAATGGAGTTTATATGGGAGACGAAAAACCTTTAAAATATAATTCGGTGCCTCGGTGGTGCTTGGCTTCTATTTGATACGGCTACGCATTGTGAATCAACTCTCTAGCCTACATCTCTCCAATCCGATTGGCTGCATTTATGCTTGAAATACGCACGCTGCTTAAGAAAAACAAGTAAGATTCTCTATACTGCAAAGTGTACCGCTAGCAGCCTAGCAGTGATGGGGTCCTGTAACTGATTGATGGAATGGAAAATTGCCTGTGCAAGTGCAGCCTCTTGTGCTTTCAAGTTCCAAGTGTAGGACAAAATACACCAGTAAGGCAGTAAGTACCAAGTGGCTTGGTTCAAAAAACGACAAAACATTTATCCACATTCATGGAGGCTGCAGACAATCGTACCGGCCCAATGACTTTCTTGAAAGAAAAGTATAAAGGAAAAAGATGGTAAGAAACTCGAGTACTCTGGCCCTGGGCCTTTTCTCCTCGATGCATCTGCGATTGCTGCATACGAGTGTCCGAAGCAGCATATGAAATTATGAATATTTTGGTCAGTAAAACAATGAGACCTTTGAATATTTTGGTCAATAAAACCATAAGACTAGAGACCTTTTCTCGTTTTCGGTACCATAGAAATTTTCAGATCATCAATATATTTATTACCCTATTCAAAATTCAAAATGGAGGAATGCTATACAGCAGCCCCATGGTGCAGCAACGAGTTTTTAACTCCACTGAACAACCAATAGTTGAATTAGATAGCTTATCCATTGAATATCTATTTACCATTATTAGCAAATGTGTACGTGTACTTTGCACATGACAATCTTAGAACACGATAATAATAATATTAAGGCCTGCTAGTGAGAGGGAGATTTTTTGTTTTTTTCTAGTCTAGACCAAAATACCATGAAATATAAACCTTGGTTATTTTGGGTCTCCCGTCTCTCCCTCTTCTCATTGCCTTGCTCCAAGCTGCCAATAATGTTTATGAGCCAGGTTTAGGGTCGTGGTATCAACATTCTGGGCAGGATGGCATCATTTTTTTTTTTTTTGCCAAAAAAGTAAAACAGGAACATCCAACTACGCGATACAATATCCAAATCTGTCCATACTTTTTAGTCCTTTCTCCCTCTTTTCTTAGCACAAACTAATTGAGAGACCATTGGTTTATCACTGGTCACATTCAGTCAGCTACGATTAACATCGTTGTCTTTCAGGGATAGAGGGACAAAAAGATTCATAACTGAAATCGGTGCAAGATGAACTTATATTAACCATTTGATGGTATTTATTATCCTATCGTAGTTCCCAAATCAAATGCGTTAATCTGCTTAACCAGTACCGCAGACCTCTATTCATCTTTGTCCTGCCATTGTTCCAAGATCAGACATTGCTTTTTTACTCTAGGGGAATGGAGCTTCTGAAGAAGAGCAGAGAGATCCCGAGGCTGTGCTGGAGTATGAAAAGTTTGGTCTCCTGGACCCAGGACTTGTTTCTATTGCACCTCCACAACTCTTTAACTGCTCATGTCCACCTGGCTGGAAAGGAGCTAATTCTAAACCCACCTGAACATCAAGCCATGACTTGGCCATTGCCCAACAAGCAGACTGCAGTGAGAAAAATAAAAATGTCACTACTAAGAGAAAACAAGAAGTAAAAGAATAAAAACAATCAGAAAGTTGCTGATAAAAAACAACCAAAATGAAAGTTTGTTATTGTTCAAGGTACAAACAAATAGACATTGTGATGGAAGCCATAGCATCTCAGATATGCAAAAATTAGTTAATTCTATTTAAGGATCAAAAGTATTACACACCATTGCAAATGCTACACGAGTGCCTCACTCTCTATATCTTGGTAACAAACCACATGAAAATGCTTACATGTATGCAGTGCTTTCATACAAGTACAGCCGCCTGGACAATTATTAGTGTGTAAGGTATAGATTAACCCACTATAAATAAATTTAGAAGAAAAAAACAAAGTAGAGAAGAATAATATGCTGCAAAGAAAAACAACAATGACATATAGAAACAAAAGAATGGAAATAAAGAGACCCAAGTCCTAAAACCAGCCTATTTGATTGGCAGTAATGTACTAGTTCTAGAAGGTGATTGCCAAGTTGTGCTATACTGGCATACGGCTAGAGTGAAAATTTTGTGTATACTTAGATCCCTGATTAGAGAACCAAAAAAAATTTGCCAGGTGATCTGAACCGTGCATTCTTATAAGTATGAATTATCTCAAATTAATGCTGATACACTAGCTAGAGAAGGAATTTATCAAAATGAGCTGGTATTAGGGGCACCAGAACAAGTTCTGATGTGAGCGTCATGGAATGATTACAAACATATTATAGGTTATATGAGGTAACTTTTGTGAAAGATATAAACAAACAATTTACAGTTTTTATCATTAATCTATTGACAAAATAAAAAGGACAGAAAATAATAAACATGTATGGAAAAAATTATGCATTCAGACAGGCATTATGAAGGCCTTAAATGGACTAACAGAAGGAATTACCTCCCAGTCAGTACAGAGAGGAAGCATTCACTTTAAATTGCTACACTGAGCTGTAAATACAACAGTCTCATATTTCCCACCATCATGTAGTGGCCTTCTTCTAGAGGGCAAAGAGTAAGGTATGGTTGCCCCAGTTAGATGTATATCCTTCACTTCTCATTTAATTAATAAAATTTAAGGTACTTAGAAGAATGGAGGCCATACACTCCTCCATTGTAATGGATTTTGCAGGTTTGGGGGTTCCAAAACTATCCTTTATCCTTTTTATGGATTTATGGACTGCTCTCATAATACTGTCAATATATAGATCTAATTAACAACATATGCATACAGATTCATTCCCTTGACTAATGAATACAGCATAATCACCTATACCCATATAAAAAAATATATTCAAGATTTGCCTCCAACTTTTAAATTAAAATAAAGTTAAGTAGCTATATTCCAGACAAATTACAGATGCGTAGAATTAGTAATAACTAAATACATATTATTGTTTATCAATCAAAAAATAAAGGAGTACTACTCACATGTGGAGAATTAGGTCACCAACTATCATAAGCTTCTCTCTAAAAGTGTCCTTCATTTGATCAGCAAGTAGATATCTAAGAACAAGTATTAAGTGTGCACCAAAACGAATCATGGATCACCATGAGGCCTGATTCAATGCATCCCTGTAATTTCAAAGTTCAAACAAAAGAAATGTACTTCTGCATGTCCATAGAAAGATGGATTTAACTAGAAGAAACAATAGTTCATATGGACTTTAGTTTATTAACATGAGAACCCCCTTCTCTTGCTATCGTTCATGCTTTAGATCATACATGATCTACCTTTGAATTGAACCAGCATCTATCTGATGATATCTATACCAGCCACCCTTTTTGTCCATTTCCAAATGGATGGGTGTTAAGATTATTATTCCAAAATCCACAAGTGCAAGCAATTTGTTTTATACTTTCAGTCATAAACTTCAAGGCTTTGAGACATTTTCTTAAGCCTTGCCTCAAGTGGAGCCTAAAGGCATAAGCCTTGTACAATTTTACCTTACCATTCTCAACAAAAAATGGTTGCAAAAATGGAAAAAAAGAAAAGAGAAAAGGTTAAACCAAAGTTTAAAAGCATGGACGTGTAGAGAACACTGATGTGGGCCCCACTGCAGTGGTCCCCACTGTGTTCGTAGGACAGCAGTGTAGTTATTTGTTTCAGTTATAGTATTGTCAGTTTGAGTCAGTTTGTTAATTCAGTTGTTATTTATTTCAGCTTTTATTTACTTTATTTATTATGTAAGTACTAAGGGCAGATGTGTCCTTTCCATTATGTACTAAACATAACCTATAAAT